AACGTGCCCACTATTCCTGCATATTTCTGATAAGAATATAAATCCACACAACTCACCTAGAAAGGAATTTAAAAATATCTACCAATATTCTCAAAAGCATTCATATCCTTTGAACCAGAAACTGCAATTCTGAAAACCATCATAAAGAACAGGACTATATGAAGAGAGGTCTATGAGTAAAGAAGTCCACTGCAGCAATATTCATAAGCACACAAAAATGGAAATGTGTCTCCTTAAGGGGAAAGGTTGAGGAAATTACAGTATCCGCTTAACGGATATATGATAGGTATGACACGGGCTAAAAAGTAATCAGGCATACATATACAATTATAAGCATGACTGAATTTTACAAATCAAACGTTCTAGAATTATGAAACAAGCTTAAAAGAAAACATAAATTACTAAAATTCTAACAGGTGGAATAAGGAGAAATGACTGTCGTTTTTCCATCTGCTTCAGATTTTCCACATTTTTCTTGAACGTTTATGCATTTTTGTGTAACTTCCAAAATATAATGCTAAGACAACAACAGATCATGTTTTACTTTCACTTTTACTTAGGAACAAAAAAGCTTCTACAAAGCAGGTAGTGAAAACTGAAAGCCAGTTTCCACCTTACAGTTTACCTTGTGTCTTCTGAGTCTGGCTGCCTGCTGAAACAGGGTTAACATTAGGCTCCTGGCTCTGACTAAGGACTTTCTCATCCCTGCTGAAGACGATCTTTGGTAACTGGGTACCAGCTTCTGGTGGAGACTTTATTCTTACCCTACATTCAAATAAGACAGAAGGAAAAAAGGTCAAAGCAGTGCTCCTGGCCACTGAGCATGCTGCATGCAGGCCCTGTGCCAAGCTCATGCAGTCCTTATGATGTTCTACAATGTAGATTCTATTACCCACATTCTACAGATACTGAAACCGAGGCTCAGAAAAGTCAAATAACTTGCCCAAGGGCACCAAGCTAGGAAGTAGCTGGACGAGGATCCAGGCAGTCTCTCTTAAACCTAAGATCTTAGCAACCACACAATTCTGAGGTACATCTTTTTCCTTAAGTATCGTGAAAATGCTCAGCAAATTGGTGCACAAGGGAAACAGACAAAACGTAAAGCATCAGTAAGACTTTAGAGTGAAATCCAGGCCGGGCGTGGTGGCTCACATCTATCATCTCAGCACTTTGGGAGGCTGAGACGGGTCACTTGAGGTCAGGAGTCCAAGAACAGCCTGGCCAACATGGCGAAACCCTGTCTCTACTAAAATTACAAAAAAAAATTGGCCGGGCCTATTGGCACGCGCCTGTAATCCCAGCTACTTGGAGGCTAAGGCAGGAGAATCGCTTGAACCTGGGAGGTGGAGGATGCAATGAGCCAAGATCGTGCCACTGCACTTCAGCCTGGGCCACAGAGCGAGACCCCATCTCAAAAAATAAATAAAGTGAAATCCAGGGAAGCAAAAGAGGGCAGTGGCAATGTTAGCTGCCTGTCTAATATCCATTTCCACCCTCCCGCCTTCTCATGAGACCCACTTTTGTTTACCCCATCCCACCCAGGAGGGGCCAGTGACAGTTCCCATGCCTGAGTGGATGCCCAACCTAAGCTGGCATATTTAAGCACTTCTCATTCTAACTAGGGGAGGAGTCTGCTCTCTGTCCCTTGGCTGGATATGAATAACAGAGCAGAGCCACCTTGTGAAGGCTGGGAAACCTGCCTGAGGAAGAAGCTAACACCCAGGATGGCAGAGCAGAGAGATGAAATGCACCAGAGTCCCTAACATCAGTAAGCCACTGCAGGCCTGTCTCTCGCCTGCCCCACTGCACATAGGTGAGGTAATCAATGTCTTCACTATTCATGCCAGAGTCTAAGTCAAATCTTTTGTTGCTTGCTGCCAAAAGTAGCCTAACTAATACAGGAGACTGTCAGATCAATTTTATTAAATGAAAACAGAGGTTATCACGGAGAATATTTTAAAAGTTAGGGTCTACGATGCAATTTTTTTTTTTTAGAAGCTTATTCATTCGTCTTCTTACCTCCAATCTTGTTCATCTCAAATCCATCCTCTTCTGGGCTGCCAGGAGTCTACTTTACAGGCAAGTCTGAGCACGATTCCTACCTTAAAGGCTCCCTCAGCAATTACAAAGTAGGCAGGTGGAAGTATGCTGAACTTGAAAATACACAGTCTGGCCGGGCGCGGTGGCTCACGCCTGTAATCCTAGCACTTTGGGAGGCCGAGGCGGTCGGATCACGAGGTCAGGAGATCGAGATCATCCTGGCAAACATGGTGAAAACCCGTCTCTACTAAAAATACAAAAAAAAATTAGCCGGGCGCGGTGGCGGGCGCCTGTAGTCCCAGCTACTCTGGAGGCTGAGGCAGGAGAATGGCGTGAACCCGGAAGGCGGAGCTTGCAGTGAGCTGGGATCATGCCACTGCACTCCAGCCTGGGTGACAGAGCGAGACTCCGTCTCAAAAAAAAAACAAACACCAAAACACAAAGTCTGATAATTCATCAAAATTCAACATTTTTAAAGAGGCTGAATTGCCAGAAATCCTCACCAACGATCTCATGAGGCAGATACCATCATCATGAAGTAGGTAAGGACACTGAGGCCCGGAGTTACAGGGCTGATGAGTGGCAGAAGCCATTATTTGGACCCAGTCTTGTTTCCACTCTGCCTTTGCATAGACTATGCCCTCTGCCTAGAATGCCTTTCTTATTCATCTGGTAAAAGGCTACTCACTAGAAAGCTGCTTGGGCCAACACTTTTCTGAAGCCTCTCCTTCCTTTCTACAATTCATGAGTTCTTCCCTTCCACTTCTGTTTGGCTGTGATCACGTGTACTGCCGTTCTGCCTCTCCCATCAAGGACAGGCCCTCTGTCTCCCTAGCCTTGTCTTGAATCTCTGGCACTCAGCACAGTCTTTGGCACATGGCAGACACCCAAGGAATGTTAGCATACTACTAAATTCTTCCCGATTCTACTCTAGGACTGAACTGAAGGAACTTTAGAATTACTTACTCACTTCTGGAGATGTCTAGGATTAGAAGGGTGACAGAGACAGATTGTTTCTTTAAAATACAGTAATTCACATCTTCATCCTGAGAAAGGAAGAGCCAATTATACATCTTATTCATTCACACCAGAACAAGAACAGAAAGTGTTCAGGAACATAGCAAATGAGTGGCTCAAACTCCATTCAAAGTAGTAAACCAGTGGGCGCGGTGGCTCACACCTATAATCCCAGCACTTTGGGACGCTGAGGCGGGTGGATCACAAAGTCAGGAGATCAAGACCATCCTGGCCAACATGGTGAAACCCCATCTCTGCTAAAAATACAAAAATTAGCCAGGTGTGGTGGCAGGCGCCTGTAATCCCAGCTACTTAGGAGCATGAGGCAGGAAAATCATCTGAACCAGGAAAGCAGAGGCTGCAGTGAGCCGAGATCACACCATTGCACTCCAGCCTCGGCAACAAGAGTGAGACTCTATCTAAAAAAAAAAAAAAAATAGTAAACCAATTGTGGGTTCTCAAAAATGCTTGGAAGTCAAAGAAGCCACTGCCTCAAGAAAATGGTGCTGTGGCCAGGTGTGGTGGTTCACGCCTGCAATCCTAGCACTTTGGGAGGCCGTGGTGGATGGATCACTTGAGTCCAGGAGTTCAAGACACAGCCAACAAAATGTGAAACCCTGTCTCTATTAAAAATACAAAAATCAGGCAGGCATGGTGGCACATGCTGGTAGTCCCAGCTACTCAGGGGACTGAGGCAGGAGGATCGCTTAAGCCTGGGAGGTCAAGGTTGCAGTGAGCTATGATTGTGTCACTGTACTCCAAAAAAAAAATGCAAATGGTACTGCAAGAAGTAGGGTATTCCCATTCAATGGCCTGGGCTCGAGTGAAGAGATGAATCAGGTCATACATTTAATACTCACCAGGTAAGAAGAAAAGCCATCATTCTTTGTACGGTCTAGGCTAAATCCAATCTAATGGGGAGTAAAAAGAGTAAAAGTAAATATCTACACAATTGTCCATACTTTTCTTACTCAAAAAGCAGAAAAAGTGGTACTTCTAACATGGATTCCTCTCAGTTTTCTTAGCATTCATTTTGTAAAGAGGCAAAGTAAAATCACTCAAGTAAAGTCACTAATTACTAGAATTACTACAGAATTACATTTTAAGTGTTAAAAGAAATTATTTGATGCCTGATATATAATTTGCTACTCACAAGCTTAATTATCTCCATATTCTTGTATTTTATATTTAAGCATTGAGGTTGGAAGGTGACTCTCACCTAAGCTAAAAGAGTAAACCCCTGGGCTGGGCACGGTGGCTCACACCTGTAATACCAGCACTTTGTGAGGCCAAGTGCGGTGGATCACGAGGTCAGGAGTTCAAGACCAGTGTGGCCAAGATGGTGAAACCCCGTCTCTACTAAAAATACAAAAATTAGTTGGTCATGGTGGTGGGCACCTGTAATCCCAGCTACTTGGGAGGCTGAGGCACAGAACTGCTTAAACCCGGGAGGCAGAGGTTGCAGTGAGCTGAGATTGCACCACTGCACTCCAGCCTGGGTGACTGACAGAGCAAGGCTCAGTCTCAGAAAAAAAAAAAAAAGAAAAAAAAAGAGTAAACCCCTGGATCTCATTAACAGGTACTTACAGTCACATCCTTGTCTTCAGGCTCATTCAATGAGAGGCTACTGACATTCACCACCATGTACCCATCCTTGAAGAAGCCAAAGGTGTTCAGATGAACTTTATGCCTCACATCATCCTAAAGAAATTTGCAGTGGTGGAATTAGTTATATGGAAAAGTGCTTCTGATTATTTAACCTATTCATTTGCTTTAAAAACTGTGATATCAGGCTGGGCGCGGTGGCTCAAGCCTGTAATCCCAGCACTTTGGGAGACTGAGGTGGTTGGATCACCTGAGGTCAGGAGTTTGAGACCACACAGGCCAACATGGTGAAACCCTGTCTCTACTAAAAATACAAAAAGTTAGCCAGGCATGGTGGCGGGCACCTGTAATCCCAGCTACTTGGAAGGCTGAGCCAGGAGAATTGCTTGAACCTGGGAGGAGGAGGTTGCAGTGAGCAGAGATCATGCCACTGCAATCCAGCTTAAGCAACAGAGCAAGACTCTGTCTCAGAATAAAAAAAAAAAAGAAAGAAAGAAAAGAAAAACTATGATATCTCATTTCCTGCTAGCCAGCCAATGTTTCCATATACTCAGTAACATACACAGCTGTGGTAACATGTCTTTCTCCAAAAGCTGAAGACAACTCATCGGAAATCCAAAAGACATCAACAGTTTCTGCAGAAGGAAGTATTCAATGGATTCAAATTCACTCCAATGCATTGGGATGGGTTCTAGGAGCAAACTCAGTGGTTGGCTGAAATGTGAATTCCAGGGCAGGAGGAACCATGTTTTCGTCATCCCCATATCCTTCCTGATAGTACAATGCCTGGCATCTAGTAGGCACTCAAAACATGCTCGGGGGTGGGAAGGAAGAAAAGGAGTGGCTGAAGTTGTTCCAAGAATACACTCATTTATATAAATCCTCTTATTAATTTGTGTGTACCTGGCTCCTCCCACTGGTAGGATAAATAATGAAGCTAAGCTATAATTCCATTATTTAAAAGGTGAATTTTCGCCTAAAAATGATACAGTAGATGATGGGTTTTCAGGGAACAAAGCTTTATGCAAGAGGAATCCCAGGAATAGGAAATTAGTGACATGGAGACAGAGGCTTTTGGATACAGGATAATCCTAAGGTTTGGTGAGACTGAATCACATGGGCAGACGCCTACCCCACCTGCTTGATGCTGCCTCAACATCGTGACTCCAATCTCAACTAAGTCAGTACACTGCAGGGCCAACAGAACAATGGTGTCAGTGAACACTTCTAAAACAGGGCTGCCACAAACACACTTTACGCTATGCAACAACTGAGCTTTATATTGAGATTTGGCTAAATTGCAACACCTTCCATAAGTCTGCAGTTTGATTCTTTGTGTGAAGGGTAACTTTTTATTTCCAGATTTGGGGTTTCCTGGACATCATGGGTAGTCCAATGGCAAACACCTAAGGCCTGTGAGGATGGGCTGTGGAGCAGGTCTTCGGCAGAAACGGCATAAACCAAACCCTCCCCCACAGAACTACACCACACTGTACTATCACCAGCAGGATGTCCTTTCCTGCCCACTCTTGCATTCAAGGAACACAGCTTTTTGACAGTCCTAGATTATGGGCTGAGAAGTTCCAACTTACCTCCCTGCTCAGGCCTAAGGCTACGGTCCCTGTTTCCCCTCAACATCTGTTAAAAACCCAGGACTCGGCCGGGAGTGGTGGCTCACACCTGTAATCCCAGCACTCTGAGAGGCCGAGGCAGGCGGATCACTTGGTCAGGGGTTCAAGACCAGCCTGGCCAAAACGGTGAAACCCCGTCTCTACTAAAAATACAAAAAAAACTAGCTGGGCGTGGTGGCATATGCCTGTAATCCCAGCTACTCAGGAGGCTGAGGCAGGAGAATCGCTTGAGCCCAGGAAGCAGAGGTTGCAGTGAGCCAAGATCGTGCCATGGCACTCCAGCCTGGGTGACAGAGTGAGACTCTGTCTCAAAAATAAATAAATAAATAAATAAATAAATAAATAAATAAATAAATAACGAAAACGAACAAAAACCCAGGACTCTGGGCTTCAAGTTTCTGCAACGCCACAGGGCAGCCCTGGCTTCCCTGTTCTTTGCCCAATGGAGTTTCAGCTCCTTCCCTTTTTGCGGCCCCTGGGAATTTCCCTTATTTTCTTAGGAGCTTGGCTATGTGGTGAAAACATGTTTGCTGGATTTCCACTTCCTGGTGGGCTGGAGTGGCTTGCAGCAAACCAACATTCTCACAAAGAACAATCAGAAAAGCCAGATAAGATAACAGAGGTCATCTCCTGGAATCTACAAGAGCGGGTCAATGGTAAAAGCCAGAAAAGCTAAGGCTCCCAGCCTTTCTTGGAATTCTCGGAGAGAATTAAATCCACTGAAAATATCTTCACTATCGATTTTCTCAATTCTCTCAAGGACAGTATATGATGACCACCATCCTAGAGGCACATAAGAAATTAACTCAACTACATAAATGGATGCCTTAGCACATTAGGGTTTCATTCTCTGGCAGAATCCTCAGTGGAGCAGGACTGTAGAGGGAGGGGATAAGGGAAAATGAACACACAGTTCCTGCCACATAAAACGACGTATGTGAATCACAGCCATATTCATGTAAAACAAACTGGAATGCAGGGGAAATCATCTGTGGTGACGGAGGTGAAGACAGTGACTACTCTCAGGAGAAAGGGGCTTTCCTGGGACTTGAGGGAAGGTGAGGCTTAGGCACGGTGCTTCTGGAGGGGCTTGGTAATGGTTCTGCCTCATTTCCTGCAGGCTGCATGAGTGTGTCTACATTCTGGAAATGCCCTGAGTTGTCTGCTTATAATGAGTACTTTTTAGCCACGTATATTACACTTCAAAAAAGTTTAAATTTTAAAAGTATGTCTTTTCTAACTGATCCAGTAGAAAGCTGCTTTGTAGCAGAATGGAAACCTGCTAAGCGTTTCATTTATACTTAGTCCACCACAACACAGGTTTTCTAGTTTGGTTTTGTTTTGTTTTTTCCCAGAAAATGTTTCAATTGCAACCTGATAACAGTTTTCCCCCACATAAATAGTACATTCCTTTACTATTTTTTTTTTTAACCTTTGCATCATCATTTCATTTGATTATACAATGCCATGAAAAACAGGTTTTTGAAGACTATTTTAAACAACAATAACAGCATCGGCCGGGCATGGTGGCTCATGGCAGTAAT